CCACACACACACACACACACACACACACACACACACACACACACACACACACACACACACACACACACACACGTCCATCCATTTCACCCATGCATTCAGTTTCCTAATAGCTTGTGAAAGGTTTTTTTTGTCATAGATGTAGAGAGCTGGCTTCTGCTTTCTTTTTCAAAACCTGTTTTCTTTGGAAATGTTAAACTCGAGGTGAAATGGAGAAAGGTACTGCATCTTTGTGAAATATGAAATATTATATCAAAATATATCAAAGCACAATGTTTAATTAATGTCTTTAGAAATCAGATAGGGAGATGTATTCTACTTTTCTTTTTTCTCTCTGACCATGCTGTAAATAAATGCATGTTTTTCCTTCGTTTTTATTTCAGTTTTTTTCCTGTGATCCCGTGCTTTTTGTACAGAAACAGAAAATAAAGATTACATTTGGCTTGAAAATATTTTGTCAAGCATCTTTATTGTGTAAAAGCGCAGTCTCTTGTTCACTTTCACAATGTTTTAAAACATCAACAGTCCATCGAGTTATAAAAGTCACTTTTTATGCTGTGCTTCTCAGCATGGGGTGAACCATCTCAGGCCAGAAATCTCCAGCTCCGCTCCAAACTTCACAGCGAGGCTCATCCTTCCAAGGTTTCGACCTTTTGGTCTGCTCTGCCTGCCAGCACTGCTCAGTTGATGGGATATATTTTTGAAACCTTATCCAAAGACCACATTCAATTTTTTAGAGTTTTGGCCCTCAAACCCAATGTGTTGAACTTGCGTAAAGACACAGTGACCCATGCAGATCAGAATCAATCATTCCTGAAATCACTCCAGCGTAGTAATTTTCCTGAGCTTTCTTCTTGGATAAGACACAATGAGGGAGATATTCCGACCGTGATTTGTGCTCATGTCAAAAGAAATATTTAAGGAAGGGGAAATATCTGAGACGTGAAGCTGGTGGCCTTTTGATTACCTCTAGCATTTGACAGTCTCACAAATTGCAGAGTCAACACTGGCTAGTCTACAGCACGTCTGTCTACAATTGAAATCACTCTTACTAGCTATACCACAAAGCAGAATTTCAATGGAAAAGTTTGAAGAGCGAACATAGGAAAAAAGTTTTTACTAATTTAAAAATTGTTTTTTACTAATAATTAGAGTGAGAGTTTTTTAATTGTACGTCCTTAAATAATACTTTTTCCCCAAAAATATTTACTAATTGAGAAAAAATATTTTTTGCAAACTTGAAAATCCACATTTTGTGCAAAAAAATTACCAATTAAAAAAAATTATATTAGTAAAAAAAGTAAAATTAGTATCAGTTTAAATATATATGAATATATTATATAAATGAAAGACTAGAGAGAGAACAGCAAATAAATAGATAAATAAATTAAATTAAATTAAATTAATTAATTATTTTTTTAATTAATGAGTTTTATACATATACATTTTTGGTAAAGCCAATTTTTTTCTGAGAAAATATATTTATTCATGTGGCATTAAATAATAAAAAACAAATTCTTCACATATGCATGTACAGTATTGAGGGTTTTAATGCATGCATTAAAATGTATGTGTACTTAAACGGACACGTTGATGTGAGCATGCTTACCACCGTGTGTTTTTGCACATTTACAGTAAAGTGTCAGCGGGTCATTTGAAGTCTTGTATCTTCATCTTGTGGGTCTTCACTGAGCCTTTGATGCCATTGGGCAGCAGAGCTTGTATCTAAGCTTCAGCTCGTGAACAGGAAATCTGCCTGCTATCTCCAAAAACGTGTAGGAGTATCAGAGCTCCGTCTATCTCACAGTCCATGAGACCAGACACACGCCGCTTCCAGACTCCACAGCCCCGAATGAGCACGTCTCAGCTGAACCACGACCCTCCGATTGTTGCTCAATGAATATCCACTTGTCTTTGTGAGTGGGAGAGTGTCTTTCTTCACAGATGCAAGGCTGCTATCAGTGTCTATCAGTGTCTGAGTTTTCCCATGGAGAGTTTTGTGTGTTAGACTGCCATGCATACATCAGTCCTACGATAACATATCCACGCTTCCAATACTTTCACTAACAAACCGCTGCAAAATGACGGACATTTAGTGTAAAGGGAGAACATTTACAGCTGGTTTGTCAAATCTTAAAGCCACCAGCACAATTATAGAAAGACTCAGTATTTCATGTTTCATGATGTTGTTTGATG